ACAATTGTACTGCCATTAGATCTTAAGGGGTGGGGAGAGTTTTTCATCTCTGGTTCAGAACATCTTCTAAGGCTAGTCACATTACAAGGCAATAACATACAGTGTAAGTCATAGATAAGTGGTCATAGAGAAATAACGCATTTGACTAACACATAGCTGACACAGGGAACAGTTTTTCAGCTGCCTGCCTTATGCAGTAATATGTACCAAATGACTTTCTGTTGACAATCTTTCTCATAATTGTCTTTATGTTGATGGCAGAAACATTGCAATTGGAAACCAAAATTTTGGGGGTTTTACTGAGAGTGACATAGCCAAGTTGTCGGTTTGTGTGTGGTGCCTTTAATATGTTGAAAACCTTTATGTCTAAGTCAGGAAAGAGAAAACTTTCTGACTTTTCCCCACCCCTCAAAACACAGTTGCTATTATTCAAACATCTTTCCTTTTTCTTTTTTAACAAATTACAAACTACAGGAACTCTGGATTCTACATCAAATGTATCTCAGTGAGTGTGGTACAATATTTAAAGCCTTGTTCTTGTTATCCATTCTGAGCCCTATGGGTGAGTTATGACTCAGAAGTTTATACAGAGTAACTAACAGTTAACCAGTCTAACAGGATACCCAGTGTGACAATTACTAAATTTTAAATAAAAAGGTTTGCAGTGTGTAGTTATAGTCTATGATGCAAGGAAAACTAGTTGCACCTGAGGGCAGAATTACGTATTACAAAGCAAACACATTCTTACCCCTTGTAATGTTAAATCTCCCTAGGAATTGGCTTCCACACAGGGCTGGTTTTTTAAAATTGTTTCCCCCTAACCAGGCTTTGAGACCAGAAAGAGCTTGGTGTGAGGAAATTAGAAATGTAGAATAATAATAATAATAATAGTTGATGTTGTTGTTTTAATTTATATCCCACCCATCTGGCTGGGTTTCCCCAGCCACTCTGGGCAGCTTACAACATATATAAAAACACAACAAAACATCAAACATTAAAAAACAAAATAGCCTATACAAACAACAAACCAATAGATCAATAGAAAACAACAACAACAACCAGTCTAACTAAACATTTAACCCACACCAACCAGACAAAAACAAAATAGAGGAACTAAAATTAGAACCATTTAAAACATTTTAACCAACAATGTCTCAGTGGCCTTTCAGGAGCCTCTTTTAGCTGTTCGAAGTGAATCTGAGCCTCACCCCTAGGCCAGGTGGAAATGGGCTTTGCAGCAGGGAGCAGGTCTTTCTTCCAGGACTCAGGGCAGCAGCAATGTAATCGGAAGCTTGCTGATCTCCCCTGCAAATCCTTCTAACTGATTTCCCCCTTGAGATTCCCTCCTCTTTTTTGTTAAGCAAAATACATGCATTTAGGAAATGTGTTTGATAGTTTAACATGCAGTTCTTACTTTAGGGCAGTGGTTTTCAACCTTTTGGAGTCCACGCTGGTGCCCTCGACCGTGTGGGAGCCATGTACACTGGGGTTCCATTACAGGACGCATTTAAGCAGGGATTCCCTTGTTCTGCACTGGCCCCACCTCACTTTGGCCCCCATTCTGGCCCACAACCACCCCTTTTCAGGTGCAGTTTTTGGCGTGTGTGTAAGTGTGAGCAGCAGGAGGAGGAGCAGGACTCAGGCGGGGCCAGAGAAAAGAGACAGACAGACAAAGAGAGAAAGATTTGCTGATATGCAGGCAAGATAGTTGACGTGAAGAGAAAAAGAGAAGGAGAGCCCTCCTTCTGACCAGTCACGTCTGAGCCAATCACCCAAGGGTGCCAGGGCACACTGATGGAAAACCTCTGCCTTAGGGAATATAAGAAACCAGTGGATCATTAAGTGCTTATGGTTGCAACCCTATACCTACTGGGTATAGGAGCTAGAGGAGGAAGATAGATGGTGAAGAAAGAGCTGTGAGTGGAGGGGGAACCTTTCCCCATCCTTTGGACCGCCTGGGAAACTCCACAAACCTGCTGTACCTGGAACTGGAGAGAGCAGCTGAATGGGTCACACCTGTTGGCAGCCCGAGGAAGCACCATCCAGCTTGGGTCTGCCTGGAAAAAGCAAGTCCAGAGTCAGAGACTTAAGAACCCAGAGGCTGAGATGGAGGGTATGTCAGGAAGGGAAATAAATCGATACTGATGGATATATTTTAGTAACTTTGCATTAGCGTAACATTTGTAAATGTAACTGTGTATTTTTGTAATATTTTGTTTTAAGTTAACTCTGTTGTAGCTTCAGTCACTTGTCAGCCACTTAGAAATGTTTTTTAATGTGGAAATTAAATAATCAAAGTAGTGCAGATGTTTTGGGCTACAACTCGGATCGAACCTGGCTAGCCCATGCCGAAGGGAGCTGTCGTCCAAAGCAACTAGATGGCATCAGGCTGACCAAGGATTAGCTATGGGACAGTGGTGGTGGAGTGGACTGTCCTTTAGCATGTAAACGCCACTACTAAACTTTTAACTTCTTTAAATTAATCCATACCATAGTGACACAGTGAAAGAGTGGAAGGGAACATCGCCAGCTGTTGTGTTCTGCATTTTTTCTTTTAATTGTCAACTTTGGATGCAGCTGTGTTGTGAGTGGGTAAAAAATTCTGCTCATGGAATGAAACAAAGATGGAAAGCAGCGACTCTGATTACTTCCTACTTTTTATGTTTTGCCGGTTTGCAATCTGGCGGCTTAAACAGTCTGATGGGTAAAAAAAAAAAAGGCAGCCTGAGAATTAGACTGAATGAAACCAAGGCAACAACGTTTCTGAGCTTCTGGAATGAAAAGCAAAACCCGGTACTGCCAACTTTTCGACGCCTGATCACTTTTACAAGTGAGGAAAGCTGCTCATGGTATTTGAATGGATCGTTGTTTTGCTTAAATGGGAATCTGTCACTGACCTGAACATTGGAAATGGAATAATATGCAAAGGAAGAAGGACCTCAAGCTTCTTAACCACCAGTAACACTATATTAGAATATTTAGTCATTTATTTGAAAAATTTATTGCCTTCCCTTCATCTATATAATGCATAAAATAAAACAAAAATTGTATAATGCACAGTAGTAAAAACCCTAAACCCTTCATCAAACAATTGTAACAGCTGCCACAGAACACTAAGGGAGCAAAAGAAGCTGGAATAAAGCAAGACGGTATAAATTAAGCCAGCATAAACCCCATTTAGCAGTGGGGCTGCTGCTGCTGCTGCTGCTGTACCTAAGCCTGGCATTAAAAATACTGTAGTATCCTACCAGGTTTCCAGGTGGTGTGACTGAGCTGAACAAGCCTAGGATGTAGCCCAAGTTCTCCCTCTGTAGTCCTGCCCAACCACACCCCCAGAATGCCCCCCTTTTAGGACTTACACTGGCCTTGACTCAGCCAGAATATATGCACCGGCATATATTCGGCTGAGCTGGGGTTAGGGACTTAACCCTGGCTTAGCTGGGAGTCAGCTGTATCCCCTGTATCCTTAGATGTTCATTCCATCTTGCCATAGGGTTGCCTCCTTACTAACTAAAATATTTGAACTGCCTGGGCAAGCAAATGATAATGTTGGCACCAGCTGGGCTTTCAAGGGGAGGGCATTTCACAAACACGGTGCCACTGCAGAGAAGACTTTAAAACACGACTACATAATGCACCTCACCCAATGAGAATTAAGGCTAGTGATACTGAAAAACAATCAAGAGAGAATATACAGTAATAGTATTTTGAACGGATTGGCCGGTGGTGTATGTAGTTGCATTGCAAAAGTTGCATTGTTTGTTGTCTCTTGAATGGATAGTTTGGATTCCCTAAAGCTCCGGGAGGGGGGGAACACACACCTCCTCCAGAAAATTATTGGTAATTATTTGCTTGTGGGATTTTAATAGAATAACTCAGATTGCTGCTTTCTTTGGGCTTGATATAGACTTCACTGCCGGCATATGAAAAGACGACTCCTATCTACAGAAGGTTTTCAATCCAGCTGAGTTTTGCTGATTCCTTTCCCCCTTGCAGCCTCTAGCATCATCCCCATACAGTTCTGGATAGCCTCCTAATCCTCTGGAACAGTGTGGCTGGTGAAGCCAGGGCTGCAGAGAGGGCAGGGGTGTCCCTTCCACTGGCAGAAGCATTCTCAGAGGAGATATTCTTCCTGGCAGGAGCAAAGTCTGTATCCTACCCATTATATGTTCCAGACTTAACTGTGCTTGTTGTCTTCCCCCTTGCCCTTAATAATCAGCTGATGACCCTTTACCCATACTTCATGATCATGAGATAGATCCATATGACTTTCCTCCACTGCTCTGTGGTGCAAACAAGGCAGCAACATGTCAAAACAGATGCTATTTATCTTTATGTATCTACGGGTTTTCCAAGTGTCATCCCACCCACTCACAGTAATAGTTTTGGGTCACAGTTCCCGCTTCCAGCAGAAAAACATTATTCTTTAAAAAAATAATAATTGTGATAAACTTACATTTCTGTGTCCAAGAAGAAAAGTGCAGAGATTTTCTTCTAGGAATTGTTTTTGTGATCTGATAGAACAAGAAAGGACAGGAACGATAAAACAAGCAAGCAAAAACAAACTGACCCTCAAATTGTTAGCCTGCCACAAATGATGCGCATGGGCAACCACATACTCATGAGGTGTCAGATGAAGGATTCTTGAGCACATAAATATACTGTCTAAAAAAACAGTACAGTGGTACCTCAGGTTACAGACGCTTCAGGTTACAGATGCTTCAGGTTACAGACTCCGCTAACCCAGAAATAGTACCTCGGGTTAAGAACTTTGCTTCAGGATGAGAACAGAAATCGTGAAGCAGTGGTGCAGCGGCAGCGGGAGGCCCCATTAGCTAAAGTGGTGCTTCAGGTTAAGAACAGTTTCAGGTTAAGAACGGACCTCCATTCTTAACCTGAAGCACCACTTTAGCTAATGGGGCCTCCCGCTGCTGCCGCGCGATTTCTGTTCTCATCCTGAAGCAAAGTTCTTAACCCGAGGTACTATTTCTGGGTTAGCGGAGTCTGTAACCTGAAGCGTCTGTAACCCGAGGTACCACTGTACTTCTGATTTTATGGTGTCCAGCCTACAGAAAGATATATCAGCCAGATGTTGGTGAATGCTAAGACAGTGGAACCTCGGGTTGCGAACGTGATCTGTGCGGGAGGCATGCTCGCAACCCACACCGTTCGCAAACAGCAGCACCGCGTCTGCGCACGCGTGGCTTGCAGTTTGGCCCTTATGCTCAAAGCACGATTTAGCGCTTCTGCGCATGCACGAGCGCTGAAACCCAGAAGTAATCTGTTCCGGTACTTCCAGGTTTGGTGCGGTGCGCAACCCGAAATCGTGTAACCTGAAGTGTCTGTAACCCGAGGTACCACTGTAGTTAGGGTGCTCTCAACTTTAAGCCCAGTTGCCATGGTCAATGTAAAGGTGCCTTGGTTTGATTACCCTTTTCTGCTATTGCCCTGTATTGATTCTGGTGCTTTGGGGCTATAGTTAAAGTGCTAGAATTGAATTCCATTTGCTCACTTTTCATGGATGGCTTTGCCTTTGGTTGGTGTTGGTTTTTTTTTTAACTCTGTAAGGTCATTGATTTGTTTGAATGTGGTACAGTCTTCTCTTGCACTAACCCAATCAAAAGTGTCCTCCACATGAAACCTTTTTGTCATGGTAAAGCTTCTCCTGAGGTTCATGTGTTTGATGTAGAGTTTATTTCAAACCAAAGCAGGTATAGACAATTCAAAGTAGTACAATCACATGGGAAGACTGTACCATGTCAGGGACTGAGTATATAAAGGAATCCCATGTTAGCTAGACCCTGCTAATTCTTATTCCCACTCACCCCTTCTTCCTCCTATTCAGCCAATTTTACAGTCAATTTTACAATTCTACAGTTTTACAGTGATGGGGGATTTTATAAGACCATTAGATAGAACTGTGCTTTTATGTAAAGGATGAATAAAAGTATAATTGAGGAAAGAATTGCATGGATTTATAAGCTTATAAACAGATAAACTGCATTTTCATGCTGGTGGTATGTATTTTAAATACTGCATAACTGTGCCTCAATTCTCCTCCAGAGGTTTTGAGATTCATAAGAATAGTTCTTTCAAAAGCCCGTTCAATATTTAAGGCTGTGTTTAATGAATGCATGTAAGGCCCCAAAAGCAAGTATAAGGAAAGCTAAAAATTGTGGTTATAGAAATTTTCCTTAATCTGGTTTTTTGAACTCTTGTCTTTCTGCTTGAAAGATTTTTTCCATGAACATGTTGCAGTATTTCTGTTTGTCCCATAAAATGCTCAAGGTTTGGACAGTTTTAGAATCTGGGAATGACTTCACGCATTCCCTCATTGTTTCTACTTGCTATAAAGGCAACTGCCAGAGTGAATGGAAGGGCCTTCTTAGGGATGGCACCCATGCTTTGATGTGCTTTTTCACAGACTCACAGAATCATAGAGCTGGAAGGGACCACAAGGGTCATCTAGTGCAACCCTCTGCAAAGCAAGAATCTTTTTACCCATGACCATTTACCATTTTTATTCTGCTGTTTTTGTGGGTTTCCTAGCTTTTAGGTTATAGAACTTGGGTGGTTCTGTGTTATGTTGCTTCTTGACTTGATTATTGATAATAGAAATGTATTGCAAAGTTCAGAACTTATCATATGATAAATTACAAGCAAGCACTTGGTGATTTGCATTTCAGATTTAGAGTATGGATCAAAGAAATCATCCTTTAATATTCATGAAGGACGAACTGTGAGACCTGGGAATAGAAAAGCAACAGAACAATTTGTTTTATCCTTCTACTGAGCAGAGCAATAAACTGTAAACATGAATAGATTGAATTGTTGAACTATCTTTAAGTTTTTCGGAGTATGTGCAAATACCAGCTCAAGCAGGCTGTCATTTGTTTAAAGTTGGGGGATATTTTTTGTTTTACCTCTAAAAGAGGCTGTTTTCTTATTTTAGACACACCCTTCATGTTCTTTCCACTGTGCATAGAGGCCCAATGACATGTTGTTCACAATATTCTGATGCCTATTTTTATCCTGCAGCTCTGTTCGTAAACAAAGGCACCACGTGTAATCCCCACCTATCCAGCAGAATTATTTCCATTTTGCCTGGTTTAATTTTGGTCAGAATTGGCATATAAAAGTGTACCATTTCCATAAAATCATTTGCAGCAGGATGCCTGCAATGTTTGACATGCGGGTCGAAAGTGAGTTTAAACATTTGCCAGGAAATTAAATTGTGAAGGGAAACCTAGACACATTTTACACAATCAAGACTTAAGGTTTGAAACATCTGCAAGTAAGCTGTTACATGCCTCATGGGTTTTCATTATATTGTTGGGTGTTTTTTCTCTCTTTGCAAACAGTACTGTCCCCACCCACTGCTTTCAGATGAGAAAAGCAGGATGTGCCGATCTTCTCAAGCCATAGACTTCAAGGTGGCAGAAAGCAAAGGTGCAGGCCACTTTTGCTTGTACCTGAATCTTGGCGCATCAGCTCTTGAGTTTAGCCCTGGAAAAGCCTGTGTGAAACCTTCCTCCTGATTTGATAAACCATGTCCCATATTTTTTTCCTCAGAGGCTGTGCTTTCTCACCTATCTCCACTTTATTCAGTGATTTGCTTATTATCACTTTCTGCATATCGATTTTTAATCACACAGTTTTATCTGATGGTATTGTATTTATATTGTGCTGTGCTTTCATCATAGGGTTTAATGCTTTGATCCAAACTTCTGCTTCTCCTCCTCCTCTTGTTGTTTCTGCTTTTTCCTTTATGTCCCATTATATCCTTAGAGTCAGGCAAAAATGACCTCTTGTGTAACCTGCCAAGTAAGAACAGGAAAGAACATTATTTTTTGTTCCTGCTGCTTCTGTTGCATAGCTGTGGAACTCCTTTCCCTTAGAGATTAATTTGATCATTTCCTAGAAGTCATGTTAAGACTTCTGTTTCACCTACAGCTGTTGTTCAATATGCATGCCATGGTCTTAGTTTAGAGAGTTTTGATACCTTGAGAAAATAGCATACACAGTCTAAAAAACTCTTTTTGGACAACATCTAATTATTTCTCAGGAGTACCTATATTTCTGTCCATCTCACTGGCTCTACACGGAGTGCCCATTGTGGTCACCAACACGGTGCCCTCCAGATGTTGGAGACTACAAGTCCCATCTGTCCCAGCCAGAATGGCCCAGCGTTCAAAATATGCCAGACACATTTTGCACCTAACTATCGGCCACTTGTGACCAAGTGAAGATGCCCAGTTGCCAGGATGGCACCTGACGCCTCCACCATCTGGAGGTGCATGCCTGGGAGATCCTTGGATCTTGACTGTTTTCACACACTAGCAACACATCCTGTAGTTATAGTTTGTTATATTTTGTCTGCACAATCAGAATGAAACTCAGGAACTAAAAAGTTGTATTGAAAAATACAACTTTTGAGCCATCTGGCTCCAAAATGGCAACTAGGCATTTCATTTTGGTAAGTATAACCCTGGTTTAAGGAACCATTTGGTGCCTAGCTGATATACCTGAGTTTCTAACACTGGAACAGCCAATGGGAAGGAATGATGAGAGGTGCAATCCAGTAACATCTGGAGGACCCCTCTGTTATCAACAATGTAATATTTATCAGAGCGGATACCAAAACACAGATCACTTGGCATAAGAAAGCAAGGTGGCTGGTTGACCGGTGTTGACCGTGTTACAGTCATTATTATTAGGTATATAAACAGTAAGACAACAGATATTCTTAAAATTGGGACTCAAAAGAAGTTCTAATCCATTCCATATATGCGTTTAAGTCCATAGATCTTTCTGTTTTAAAGCTACATGTGTAAATCAATATTTCTGAAACAAGATGTGTGGGGATTCTTGGTTTTAGTTTGCTTTTAAGATGTTGCTTGCCACTGCAGGTTTTTATCATTAGTTTCATCATTAGTTCTGTGTATTTCTTTTTTAAATTTGCTGCCGCCTGTCAGAGGTATGCTGTAGTTAATTTAAAAGTGTTTTAATCGGTTAATTCACCTGTTCATTGAATTGAGCTTCATAGCCCTGATTAACTTATGTTACTTGTTGGCTCTAGCTAGTAACAGACCTAGTTCTAAATCTTGCATTTCTCATTTCGAAATGGCACCACCAAACCAAGTCTTTGGTGATTTTTGATCCAACAGGCACCAGTATACTGTGTGAATGCAACTTTTAAAATGTTGGGGTCTCATGCCTTGGGCCAGCACATTTCAAATTGTTGTTCCAACCTGACTACAGCTGACAACATGTTTGGGAATTGAAATCGGATACTCTGGTTCTAAACTAGCCTGCTACTAGGATGTGAATCAGATAACTTAACTGAAATTGTGGGATCATCAAGTGTCAAATACAGGTGAAACTCGGAAAATTAGAATATCGTGGAAAAGTTCACTTATTTCAGTAATTCAACTTAAAAGGTGAAACCAATATATGAGATAAAAAGACTCATGACATGCTCCAAAATCTCCTGGTAGACGGCTGTGTTGACCCTGGACTCGATGAAGCACAGTGGACCAACAGCAGCTGATGACATGGCTCCCCAAATCAACATAGACTGTGGAAACTTCACACTGGACTTCAAGCATCTGGCATTGTGTGCCTCCCCATTCTTCCTCCAGACTCTGGGTCCTTGGTTTCCAAATAAGATGCAAAAGCTGCTCTCATCAGAAAAGAGATTTGGGGATTTGGGGAGATTAGGTCCAGGATCAACACAGCCGTCTACCAGGAGATTTTGGAGCACTTCGTGCTTCCTTTCGCAGATGAGCTTTATGAGGATGCTGACTTCATTTTCCAGCAGGACTTTGGCACCTGCCCACACTGCCCAAAGTACCAAAACCTGGTTCAGTGCCCATGGGATTACTGTGCTTGATTGGCCAACAAACTCACCTGACCGGAATCCCATAGAGAATCTATGGGGCATTGCCAAGAGACAGATGAGAGACATGAGACCGAGCAATGCAGAAGAGCTGAAGGCTGCTATTGAAGCATCCTGGTCTTCCATAACACCTCAGCAATGCCACAAGCTGATAGCATCCATGCCACACCGCATTGAGGCAGTAATTGATGCAAAAGGGGCCCAAACCAAGCACCGAGTACATATGCATGCTTCTACTTCTCAGAGGTCCAATACTGGTCTATTTGCAATCCTTGTTTTGCTGATTTCATTTAATATTCTAATTTTCTGATATTGTTAATTTGGGGTTTTCATCAGCTGTACGCCATGATCATCACAATTATAACAAATAAAGGCTTGACATATTTCGCTTTGCATGTCATGAGTCTATCTCATATATTAGTTTCACCTTTTAAGTTGAATTACTGAAATAAATGAACTTTTCCACGATATTCTAATTTTCCGAGTTTCACCTGTACTCCCATTATCTTCAGAGGCAATAGATTATATTCAGAGCATTGACCTTCTAGACACTAACATGGTTTTTTAGCAAAGACCATCCATAGAACTCCCAACCAGACAGATCTCTCCCAGCCATGCCTGAGCATGCCAAGAATTGAACTCAGGACATTCTGCATCCGAAGCAGTCACTCTGCCTCTGAGCTCCAGTCCTTTCCCACAGGAGGTTCTCTTATGGGTCCTTCCACCACTTAGACTGGGGCAGATGATGATTGGGAGGAGAGGTCCAGTTATTGTATCACTTCACATCTCAAATGTCCTCCCTAGAGAAGCTCACCTGTCACCAACTCTGATGTCTATTTTGTTTTTTTTGGTGTTAATGTCTTTATTTGGTGTCTTTAGTTGTCTAGCCCTTCCCAGCATTTTTTACAACTCATTTTCATATTGCTTTTATAATTCTGCTGGATTGTACTGATTTTCGTGGCTGTTGCTCCTGTGCTTTTAATGCTTTCTATGGCATTCTTATCATATCGCTTACTGTTTTTAAAGTACGTGGTACTTTAAAACCCTATAGGCACTCACCTATAAAAATAGATTAGAGAGATGGAGCCAGGAGTAGGTAAAATGCGTAGCTGATCTCCAGTTGGTCTTCCAGTGCTTCACCTTTTTGCTTCCACTTGTGACAAAACTCCTGTTTCTTTAGGCGCATGCGTTTGGTTGGTTCGTATCCAGCACCCAGTTTTACCTTTTAGTCAGTTTGTCACAAATATAGAAGAAATGTATGAAATCTCCCGGTCCATAAGGTAAGGGGCTATATAATAAAGTCCGAGGATAAGGGATTCAGAAGACCAAAGCTGCAACTGTTCATAGCCAAGAGAGAAGTATGTGCTCAAATAAAAGTCTTCTGGAAGTCCCCCCCCCCCTTTAGCCAGTGACCCAGCAAAATGGGCAAGGTGCTTTTCCATTTAAAACAGTTTTGAATGTGAATGCAAAACAAACTACACGAAGGACTGGTTGTACAGATTATGGCAGGCCATAAGCTATGCATTTTAGTTTTTCCTGTAAGAAGTTGTTTCTTGGTAGCTTAGTTCATAGCCCACTAAATCAATGTGAACCTTTCTCTACTCTCCAAGGGATTCTGGATTAGGCCTGGAATGACTTTCAAACAGTGAATTAATTTGATCTTAATGAGAAGCCAAGTGAAATATCCTCTCCAGTCAGTTTCAACAGGATTTAAAAACAAACAAGCTGCAAAATTTATTGTTCCATTTTTGCATTTTGCTGGGGTGGAACTCAGGTTAAATTCAGTTCAGTAAGCTTGGACTACAACATTAATTTGAGTTGTCTTTCCCAATCATGTATATGTTTATCGTGCTAACGTTAGGGGCCAAATAAGAACCCAGTCCTCCAGGAATTTGTTTATTTTATTGAATTTGCAACAGCGGATCATATTATGGCTTGGGATGTTAATGGATGTACTGTAGTTAAAATGCAATGATAATTACCGCCAACTGTGCGTGCCATATTATTTCGCCCAGTCTTGCCCAGTCATAGATAGGAAGATAAGCAGCCAATTAGAATCAAATGAATAAAGCACAATAGAATTTATATGAACTGAGATGTACATCAAGAACAGGGACATGAGGAGAGGGAAAGCTTAAAAAAACCATGCAAAGCCTAGAGACAATTGGCTGAGTGCCATGGCCAGGAAAGAAGTTGACAGGGAGGGCTGGAGTCTAGAAAGCTATGGAATTGTGGCCAAGGGAGCAGGGCCATTGACTTAAACTAGTCACGACTAACTTGTCAATTGGTTTCAGTGGGCCTACTCTGAGTGTGACTTGGTTGGGATACACACCACATATTAGTCCAGGATCATGATCCACTACCAGTTCAGAACATGGTAATATCATGCCGCCTGACCCAAATAAGGAGACACATGCATGCAGGCAGACGAATGCAGTATGCAAGTACATCACTTGCATGTACAGTGTCAAAATATCACCCCCATGAGCTTTAAGGCACCAAGTGAAGGCAATTAAATATCAAATGGCTTTTTTTAGAGGTGGGGGTGGGGAGGAATTCCAGTTGAATTTTTCACTGGATATTCTGCTGGTCTTTGCTTAATTGAGTCTGAGTGTTGCATTTTCTTGTATTCCATTATTGTTTTAATATTTTTTTCATGAATTTATTTTTGTGCAGGTTTTTGTTGTTGTTTTTTTGGTACATACCGTTTATTAAATTTTCAACATGGGCAGAAATCAGAAGGGCATTTCAGATATGCTTCGAAATGTGCACCTGAGAAAGGAAAATGCGGTTTCTCCGTTGTTCAGTGTGCATTCAAATGCACATCCCCATCACTTACCTAGGACACCTAATTTACATGCTCGTTAAGATCTTGTTTATCTGCAGCTACTTCTAGATCAGGGGGTTGTGGCGATTTTCAGCAAGGACATTTCCTCTCACTTCTGAATTCCTGGATGAGGTTACAGAAGACAGCGGGGTTTCCTTCTGGAACATGGAAGACAACTCAAACTACAGTGGTACCTTGGTTTACGAACTTAATCCATTCCGGAAGTCCGTTCTTAAACCAAAACCGTTCTTAAACCGAGGCACACTTTCCCTAATGAGGCCTCCAGCTGCTGGTGCCCTTCCACCGTTCAGCTTCCGTTCTTAAACCGAGCTAAAGTTTGCAAACCGGGACACTACTTCCAATTTTGCGGAGTTCGTAAACCAAATAGTTCATAAACAGGGCTGTTCTTAAACCGAGGTACCACTGTACATTAAAATTTCAGCAAGTTTAGTCTCTGCCCTGGCCATGTAGG